ATATAAATATGTGTATGTATAAGTAGATACACATATATAAGTGTAAACATATATAAGTACATATGTATAGAGATATATTAGTATATATATACACATATGTAAGTGTATAAACATAAGTATATAAGTATATATAAACATATAAGTATAAACATATATAAGTATACATATATAAACAGTGTTTATTCGAAGTGTGTGTCTGACATTTAATAATTTACTCAGCTTTTGTTTGTTCATTTGTTTCGAGACAGTCTCGCTCTGTCCGCCAGGTGATCTCAGCTCACTGCAACCTCTGCCTCCTGGGTTCGATGGATTCTCCTCCCTTAGCCTCCTGAGTGGCTGGGATTACAGATGTGCACCACCGTACCTGGCTAATTTTTGTATTTTTAGTAGAGATGGGGTTTCACCATGTTGGCCAGGCTGGTCTTGAACTCCTGACCTCAAATGATCTGCCTGCCTTGGCTTCCCAAAGTGCTGGGATTACAGGCATGAACCACTGCACCAGGCCAGTATTTTGTTTTAAAAGGATAAAGGTAGCAGGATAAAAGATAACAGGGATTCCCTGTATATTAACACTTTCAATGAACAGCCTTTATAGTTACATAATTCTTTCTGTTTTCCTGTCTTTGACTCATTATAACCACATGCACGGAAATGTAATGTTATGTCTATTAAATCTTCTTCCTCCCACCCCTGCCAAAAGAGGTTAAAAGGCCCACCCTTGGAGGGGGCAGGCGACTCCAGTTACGCACTCGCGGTGCTCTGGTGCTACAACTTAAGCCCTGCAGCCAAGCAGAGAGGCGGCAGGGTATCTGTTGAATCTTAGTAAAAATTTAGTTATCTTTTCAATTTGTCTTTCTAGTAACTCCTTTTTATTGTCCTTTTAGAAAAGTACTGGTCTGCAATAGATTGAAAATTTTAAGTCAGGGTCTTTCACTACAGATAGTAATCTGCTCTAATGTTAACTTTACTGAATATGAGAGTTATATTGTGTTACAAAGCAGAATGCCCTTGGTCTTAGGAGACATGTGCTAAAGTATTAAAGGCTGATGTGTCACAATGTCTACAAATAATTCTCAAATAGTTCAGCCAAAACAAAAGAAAAACCCAGATATAGATGGTGAGAGAGTGGCATTACATTAACCAGTGACAGATCTGGATGATAGGTTTGTGGGTGTTTGTTGTAAACTATTTTTGCAACATTTCTTTAAGTGTGACATTATTCAGAAGATAAAGCTAGGGAGAAATTTTTAATAACAAAAAGTTTCATTCCATACCACTTATAAAAGTAAAGATGTGCATTGGAACCGAATGATTAAAAAAAAAAAGAAAAAAGAAAAGAAAAGTGATGATGGCCAGGCAGAGTAGTACATCCCTGTAGTTCCAGTTACGTAGGAGGCTGAGGATGGAGGATAGCTTGAGCCCAGGTGTTCAAGACCAGCCCAGGCAACAGCAAGACCATTTCTCAAAAAAGAAAAAAACAAAAACAAAACAAAACAGTGATAATGCCAATTTTATTTTTCCTAAATGTATCTTCACTAGATAAAATAATTCTTGAAAACATTATTTTTAAGAATAACAATTTTAGGGAAAATTGTATTTTCAGAGACCCTACAGGTATAATTAATTACTGTCAATGAAAATCAATGTGACCCCCTATGAAATTATTGATTGGCGTTCATCTGTTCTCATTTAGCTCTAAATTACAAATCGGCTGTTTTCACATAATAAAAACAAAATAAATGGGGGAGGGGAAATTACAGGCATGTGGCTCTTACCTAACAGCCAGGAGGCTAAAATGGTCATGGAATTAAGCCTCTATTCAACCTATGGTAAATAAACCTTATTAATCAATCAGAAAAATATTATTAAGGTAAGAAAATAATATTGAAACCAAATTTCTCTCCTTGTATTTTCAATCCTTATCTCATTTTAGAGACTTCACTGGGGCTCATATTTCAGTCAAGAAGAGTAAAAAAGGGAGACACAACTTACCAAAAGTCACAAAACATGGCAGAGCCATGTTTACATAAGTTAAACACTTAAGTTTGTATTTCCTTGCTTCTGTTCAGCTGACCACTTCATAAAGCTCAAAAACTCCATTGCTATATGTGAAAGGACCTTTCTCATGCTCCCTGATAATTATACAGCCAGTTTTCCTTGAGTTCAAATATAACTCTCCCAAAATATTATGATGGAGGCCGGGCGCGGTGGCTCAAGCCTGTAATCCCAGCACTGTGGGAGGCCGAGGCGGGTGGATCACGAGGTCAAGAGATCGAGACCATCCTGGTCAACATGGTGAAACCCCGTCTCTACTAAAACTACAAAAAATTAGCTGGGCATGGTGGCGCGTGCCTGTAATCCCAGCTACTCAGGAGGCTGAGGCAGGAGAATTGCCTGAACCCAGGAGACGGAGGTTGCGGTGAGCCGAGATCGCGCCATTGCACTCCAGCCTGGGTAACAAGAGCGAAACTCCATCTCAAAAAAAAAAAAAAAAAAAAAAAAAAATATTATGATGGATTGGAATGAGGACAGATGGCTAACGCCAGTGAGAGATGCTCTTTTTTAAAAACACTAGTTTCAAAGTTTGTGAAGTTTCTCTTACCTTACTTCTTCACCAGCAAAATCAAACACCTTGGTGATTTTAACTTTTTCTGTTTCTTTAGGTTTCTCTAGCTCTTCCGCTTTCACCAACAATTTATTTGAACTTGTCTCTTCAGTCTCCTCTCCTTTCTATGAAAAAAAACAAGAAATGTAATCAGTTTTACCAAAGGATGAACCATAGTGTTTATAGCTATTCTATTTTTTGGGAGACATCGTCTCACTCTGTCACCCAGGCTGGAGTGCAGTGGCAGAATCTTGGCTCACTGCACCCTCCCCACTGCCCAGGTTCAAGTGATCCCCCTTGCCTCAGAGTCCCAAGTAGCTGGGATTAAAGGCACCCGCCACCACACCCAGCTAATTTTTGTATTTTTAGTAGAGACAGGGTTTTGTCAAGTTGGCAAGGCTGGTCTCAAACTCCTGACCTCAAGTGAGCCACCCGCCTCAGCCTAACAAAGTGCTGGGACTGCAGGTTTTTGCCACCGTGCCCAACCCATAGCCACTCTTAAATGTTTCATCTCTAACCAGTTAAAGGCCTATTAGAAATTCATTTGATTAGAGAAGCTTATTCTTCTACCATAGGAAATGCTTTGTTTTTCACTTAGTATAATAGTTAGCAAAAGGCATCTGGTTGATTTCTGTAGGCTTCAATCTCAGTAATGCAGGGTATTTCCGGAGAGGCATTCATCTCATTAATCTCTCAACTTACCTTAACTTGTGTACTTGGGGACACTTTTGATTTTGGTCCCACATCATTGAGGAAGCTGGCCCAGAGTTCATCCGCCTTCTTTTTCCTTGCATCCTCTGATCCAACGCCTTTTTCCTGCTCTGCAGCTTCATCTTCCTCCTCACTACTGCTTCCCTCAGATTCTGAATTGGCATCCTCCTCTTCCTCTTCTAACGAGAGGCCACCTGGTCTTTTCTTCCTAATTACCAGCGGTCACAAGGAAAAAGAAAGACAAGACAGACAACACAAAATGATTTCGGTTATCCCTCCCCAGACTCTAAACATAATCTTGTAAAGCAGGGAACATTTTAAAATCTGGTAATACCGATAATACAATGAAGGGAGAAGAGGTAAGCTGAAATTCTGTAGAAGAAAAAAAGAACTGAAAAAAAAGAAAGAATGGAGCTCTTACTGCTAACATTTTCTCCAGTCACATAAAATCAAAGTATAGTGTTCTCATTCTAAATGAGGAGCAGCTGTTTTCACAAAGAAAAAATCCGAAATCACCTAATCATAGACTTAACCTGCCCAGAAAGAATATCCTAAGAACATATTACATGTGCCAGATATTGCTGACTTTTTGAAGCTATTCAATTTGTAGAACAAGTTCTACTGAGAAGAGCCTCAACTTTATTTGCACTATTTCTTCCAAGAGTTCTCAGGGAAAAAACAAAAAAAAATTTTTCTTTCCACTTTTTGAAGAAATGGGAGCTGGAATATAGAAAAATTCAAGGA